CTTCTTTTGCTATCTTGATAAGTATTATATAAATTATTCAAATTATTTACTATTTAATTTGATAAGTTATACTAAAATTAAAATATATATATAAAATAAATAGTATGTAAGATATTAAAGAATGATATTTATAATAATTATATTTACTACTATTAAGTTATAAGATTATATTATTAATAATTATAAATAAGATAAAATATAATATAAATAGTTTTAATTTATATTATTATTTAAAGAGTATTTAGATTTGAGATAAAAGTACAGAACAGAAAGAATATATTTATAGTAAAAGAAATAAATATAAAGTATAAATAAATTAATAATAATTTTTAATTAAAATATATATATATTAAATATAATTAATTAACTTAATTTATATCTTTGAAAAGCAATTAATTATAATCTAATAATTAATAATATAATAAATAATATTATAAATAATAATAAATAAAGAAATCTAATTAAAAATATTAATTATCTAAATTAATAATATAGATATATATGATAATTATTTATGTAATAATATGTTAAATCTAATATATTAAATATATGGATGATCATTTATATATTCAGAATGAAATTGATCTTTAAGAAAAGTGATACAAAAGTTAATCTGTTATACAGATAATACAAAATGAAGATCTGAGCTAAAGAGAGATAATCTAATCAAAATTATTACATATAATATTAAAGAAATTTTTTAATTATTAAAAATATATTTTCAGAAAATTTTATATAATTTATATTTAATTAAATTATATCATTTCTAAAATATTCAATTTAATTATATAAACTTGATATGTTTAAAATTTTTTTTAATTCTTTATTTTTTGATATAATTCAATAATTCTTTAAATTTTCATATTTATTAAAGATTATGTGATCAATACAGAGAAGTAAATATCTCTTTGGTAATAATAGCATGAACATAATTAAATATGTTATTATAATTTTTTATGCAGCAAAATTTATTAAATGAAGAAGATTGTGATTCATAAATATAGTCACATCTCTCCATAAAAAACTCTATATAAGAACAAATTATTTATAAGAATAATTTTTCAAAACAAGTTTGTTATAAAATTTCTCTCTTATAAGAATAATTTAAATTTTTAAAAGAATTTTTATCTCCCAATCATGTACTTATAGAGAAGTGTGGCTGTATATATCTTTATTTAACAGAATACTCAGTATTGACATTTGTACTATGCCCTTGTTTTTGAATGGAATTGACATAGTCCAAATATTATATGTTCATATTTTGTCCAAAAGTCAACACTGGAATTATCTGTTTTTACTAGTTTCAAAGAATCCTGCATAAACGTGATAATCGAAATAGACCAGAAGAATTGCATCATTATACAAGTCAAAAGCATCATTCAAGGTTTGATTGAACAAACAACTTTGACAGCTCATATATCCAATTCATTAATTGTCCAAGGTAGAAATAATAATACTCATAAAATATAAGAAAATTCAAAATATTCAACTAATTTAACAATAAAATATTAAGATTTATCTTTTCAGAATGAAAAAATCCCTCCCTCAGAATGATGCTTTGTTAAAAAGTTATATAGTACTTTCTCTAAAGGTGGTAACATATAAATCAGCCGTGTTGCTTCATCATAAAAATTAATGTTACCAGATTAGGATCTATTTTCGAGATTCCGGCGCTAATGATTGTGCAGAGTATAAAATGCCTCATCACTTGTCAACTTAAAAAAAGCGATCAAAAATGATTTTTAATCGAATATTCAATAACTCATATGCGATTGAAAAATCTGCATTCCAAAATAATATTACACTTCTTCCTCAGACCAGGGTACAATTTCAGATGGGAGTGATACTGCAAATATCGAACTTGTAAAAGAGTTTCAATCACATCAAAAGGTTCTGAGAAAGCCAAGCTAAAAAATTTTAATATCGCAAAACCTATAAAGATTTTAACAGCATTTTCTGAGTCCACATCTATTGGTCCGTGGTTTTGGATTTTATCATTTAAGTTATTACTAGCATTTCCCGTGTAAAAGTGTTGCACATCAGCAGGATTATAACATGATCAAAATGGGTGTTCGGGTAGTTGATTGCGAAAAGGAGGTGTGAGTGTTATTGCTCTTCGAATGTTACAACGCGAATGGAAGTTGAAATCCTACGTTTATCCTTCAAATAAAAAATCTATCAAAATCACATCCTGTAAAAGCTTTGACTAATTTATTCACGTGATTCCTCAAGACCACAAAATATAAACTTCACGATTTATTATATATGGCCAAGTTTAATGTTGTTCAAGAAACTTCTGCTGTCCGGTAAAGTAAATTTCTAATCTATACTAAATTTTATCTTTTTAAGTCACATATTCATATTCATAATATAAAGTCGGCAACCTAAAGAGCGACAAAAAAATTGTTAATTTCAAACCTCTACTAGTTCATGAATATGGTATAAACTAAGATAAAAATTAAGTAAGTTTAATAATAACTATTAAAAAATAATCTATATTATTTATTTTTAATCAATTTGAATTATTTTTAAATGAACAGGCATGATTATAATAAAATTAATCGCGTTATTCACTTAAAAAAAATCACACTTAAAATAGCTTAATTCTTAAACAATGATAGATGCTTAAAATAAAAAAATAATTGTCATAATACAGACAATTATACTTATTATACTTAAAATGAAACTAATTGTTATACTTATTTGTAATGAAATAAAAAAAATTATAGAAGCGTAAAATAAAAATTAATTGTTAAAAAACATTGTTCAAATTAAATAGACTCTAAATTTGTTCTTAAATTTTCAATAAATGATACTGTTTGTTCGATGTTTCCCCTCTCCAATAAAAATCACGCGTTCTCTCCATTAACTCATTTACAGTTCGTCGTCGACCCTCTGCTGCTCTTTCAGGTTTCTCCGACGTCTGCACCCTTCATTATGCTCGTAAATTTCGAATCCGCTCTCTAAAAATTTTGCTGAAATTGACCAATCAAATGCAATTAAATATTAACGTGACTGTTTTCAGTTTCAAAAAAAATATAGATTTTAAGTGTCTATAACTTTTTATATGAATTTTTTTAAAAAAACTAAACTGATCAGTTTGGTTTTTTGAAAATTCCTTTATGTAATATGCAGAAAGTTTTAAAGATGTCCGATTTTTCTATCACGTGATTGTCTGGTCTCTTATTACATGAGGTATTTTCTTAATTTATATTATTCGAGATATCATTATTATTTTCGGCCAATCAGCGCTGTGACTTGAAATTAAGCGGTCAAATTGCAATATGATTGGTTAATTTTAAGTCGCAGCTCCTGATTGGCGATTTTGTGGCTAGCAAACAATAATTCGAATAGAGGAAAATATAAAACCAATGTTTTTACAAATGGCGAATATTTTTGAAAATTAGATAGATTTATAAAAAAACAGAACTCAAATCGAAAATAAATGAAGTCACTCAACACAGGTGAAAGAGGCAAATTTAGAATAATTTACTAAATGAATATTTTCCTGTGAAGCCAATTTTTTTTGTCTCGAATTTGTTTTGTAGGTTGATGCATTCTTATTGGTTGTTGGGAAAATATTTTGTAGGATTTGAAATTGGAAACAGATTTTAATTTTCTTATTGTAAATCCCGTCTTAGAAATAGATCATCCTGTTATAATAATTTTCGCATTTTTCATGTGTTCATGAGCACAGTATATGAAGACAATTTAGAAATTTTTTAATTAAATTAAATACGATCCTACGATATCATTGGACTTCACCGTTAGTATCGTATAAAAAAGTAAAATAGACGTTTTCGTACGTGATCACATGATTTTATTGGTCGTAACAAATCAGATTAAACTTATAACTTGAAATTCTGCTTTGAAAGCAGCCTTTGATTCTAGTTAAAAAATGTGTATTGTAAAATTTTACATTTAGATAGTATATTTTTATTTTTAAAGTTATTATTTATTGAGATTGTTACAAATAAAAAGTTATACATTTATTATAGGATATTTTTTTATAGTAAATATTTTATATAAATCCTTTAGAATTCAAAGTATTCAAAGTGCAGTACATGTATTAGATCCCGTTCCCATATCGATATTACTTAATCTTTAGCGCGGTTCTTTACTAAATTAGCTTTTGTCATTAATTACACCATTTACCTGTATTTCACACGCGTAATTCAACTGACCAATGAATAGCAGTAATTGACACCATGTGAGTAGAGTTTTAGGAAATGATATATTAACTAACCTATTTGTTTATCTTTTCATATGTGAAGTCAAAAATAATTTGAAGATCAATGATTTCATTACACGAAACAAGTAATTTGCTGTTTAACATGGACCAATAGGAATTTTTGACGTTAAACATGTATTACGCCGCAAAGTATAGATAAACTACCGATACAATATCAGTTAGTTAAACATACCCGATATCGATTTTACGATAAATTTGGAATTTGGTACAATGAAAAAAATAATTTTAGGAACAACATTCAAAAAAACGGAAGTTAAGCACGAAAAAAATTTAAATAATGGAAAAATGCGCCTCGAGTGGGAACTACAACAAAAGACATTGTTTTTTTTGGTATAATTTTATGTATGATAAAGTGACTATCGCTATACAGTTCATATAGTATGCCGAATGCAACACAAGCACAACTTGTTCAAAGTTTCACAATTAGGTAGTATGCCAGCCGTTGTAAGCTTTGGCGTATTTACATTTACACATATATTAAGACCTTCTATTAGTCTTTTTAATGATTAAATCAGCAAGTTTAGCCTAGCCTTTATTTATATCAAAATCAAATTATCGTTATAACAATAAAGGATCAATTAAAAGTTTTTTTGAAACGGTGGCGTAAATTATTAAGCAAACTTTACAAGAACGCAACTTTTATGTTTTCTGCATAAATATCTGGCGAAACGCACTTTTATCTGCATAAATTATTTCCTTCTATCTTTTGACATTGTTTCGATAAAAGAAAAAAACAACGACACGGAAAATGTCAATGTCGACTTTTCTGATTTACTCTGTCTCAATACTAATACTTGGATTATACCTGTTAGCAAGATATAATGAAGTTGATGATTATGGCCTATCATCGTCGTCTTCCTCCGCGGTGGTGAGTTCCAGGCAACTTTATGGGAATTTTCTACATATAACTGATTTGCATCCAGACCCTCATTACCAAATAAACGCAACATTTAAATCTCGATGTCATAAAAAATTGAGAAGATTCGGTGTAAATAATAATGAGATCGATAATTATCACGAGATTGAAGAGGGCACTTATGCAAATAAACCTAAACACATGAAGCATGGAATTTCAGGCGTTTGGGGTGGTCCCGCGTCTATTTGTGATACGCCAATGAGCTTGATAAATGCCACTTTTGATTGGTTGAAACAAGAGTGGGCGGATAAAATTGATTTTGTTCTTTGGACCGGTGATAATTCTAGGTAAAATTTTTTGCCAAATGAATCCCATTACTTGTCATCGTTATGATTATTAAAAAACGACCTTTTTACTCTGAAATGTTAGACATGATAATGATGACAGAATTCCACGTAAAAATCCGGAAATCCTTAAAATGAATCGTGTAATTGCTTCAAAATTCCAAGAAACATTCTCAAGACCCGATAAAAATTCACCAAAGATGATTCCAATAATACCGGTAATCGGCAACAACGACATCTACCCCAGTAACATAATAACACCAGGTCCAAACAATATTCTTCAAAAGCTAAGTGAAATTTGGTCCCCGTTCATTCCGAAATCTGAAATGTCGACATTTCGTAAGGGGGGATACTACGCTACGGAAGTAATCAAGGATAAATTAATCGTTGTCTCATTAAACACGTTATATTTCTTTCGAATGAACACAGCGGTACAAGGTTGCTCAGATCGGTCACAGCCAGGCACTGAACAAATTAAATGGTTGAATAAGCTGCTGCTAAAGGCCAAAAAACAACATAAAAAAGTTTACTTGATTGGACACGTAGCACCAACAAAGAAACGTTATACGAGGACATGTTGGAACAAGTACGGAAAATTGGCACAGAAATATCATGATGTGATTTTAGGTCATTTCTTTGGACATTCCAATATGGATCATTTTTATTTTATTCGTTCTACCAAAAAAGGTATTAAATTATTAGATGAAAAATTCGATGACGTTAATGATGATGTTGTTGATGATGTTGTTGATGATAGTGATGCTGATAGTGATAGTGATGTTGCTGATGTTGATGTTGATGATAGTTCGGAAGAAAATGATTTAAATGATGATTTAGATGATGAAAATGATTTAGATAGTGAAGATGAACCAGAATATGAAACATTTGATGAAGACGAACCAGAATATGAAACATTTGATGAAGACGAAGAAGAAATAATGCCTCCATTTGACTATGCTGATGACGATGATAACGATGGAATAATATACACAAATTTACTGAAAACTGAAAAATTCGGCAGTAAATTGTTAAGGCATTATCGACAGGTGCCATCGTTAAATAACATGGCGGTAAGCCAACACAGTGTTATTCATGTGAATCCTTCCGTAATTCCAACGTTTTACCCAGCTGTACGAGTATTTCAGTACCATACTAATAAAGATGCTGAAAATATCGAACGTAGGAAAGGCAGAAAGAATAAACAAAAATATCCAAAAAATAATAACTATCTCATCCCTTACAACTATATTCAATACTTTATGAATCTCACCCATGCTAATCTTGATCTATATTCAACCAATCGACCCACCTTTCAAATAGAATATACGACCAGAGATGATTACAACATGACAGATTTATCAACTCATAGTTGGCTGAAATTAGCAAAAAGGATCGTCAGAGATGCAAGAGAAGATGGACCATTATTCAAAAAATTTAAGGATCATATGGTTGTTTCGACTCGTGAGATGGTTGATGATCGTATCAAGAAAGGATGGATTAAGAATATTAATAATGATAGTTAATTGTATTATCTACACTACATTATGTACACTTTGATGTTTTATCGTGCATGTATATTTCTTAATACATAGATTATAAATAAAAATGAAGATAGTCCGTTGACTTGGAACAGAACAACGGTTACCATATAGTTATACAATTGAACCTTGACATAACGAACTTTGATTTATAACGAACACATAGTAGATTCGCAATATTAGCGCAATTTATTTTCAGCTTCTTTATATTAAATAAGCCTTGATATAATGAAACTATTAACAAAACCTTGATAAACCAAATTTTAAAATATGAGACTAGCAGTTCAATCCCGTCATTATATCAAGGTACAATCATCTGTAGTCTTTCGTCAAAATTCTTTACAATCTGAAACTTTTGTCAATGTTTTTCTTTGATAGTTAACGATTTATTCATACGTATATGTGTTCAAGAACGGACGATAAGAAATTGTCTGCTACGATATTTAACGATTTGCAAACTATATCGTATATTAAAGCAGAAGTGTTGTCCAAAACGGTTGCTAAAATGACAAAGAGAAATTAGACCTTGATAATTCAGACATTGAAGGCGAACAAGAGAAAGAAGAGGACAAGAAAGTAGATAAATAGATAGTGACTTGAGAACGAAATAGATATGAACAAGATAGTGAATTAGACACCAATCTGGATGACGAGCAAGGCAGTGATGAGGAGGAGCCGACCTTGATGTGAGTGGTAGTCGATAAAAGAATATTTGAAGGTTTTTTTCGAGGAACATATCCTTTTTACTATATCAAGTTACTGGTTAGCAAATATCTTAAACAAAAACTTAACTTTGTTTTATTCCTTTGCATTAATAAGAAGGTATGTAGGATTACTTTGACCATGCTTGAATTGTCTAATCTCTAAAGTAGCTCAAAACTCGGACATAAAGCTAAATACTCTTGGAGTTAATAAAAAAATCTATTAATGCAGACAATCTATAGAGCACCAACACAAAAAAGCAATTTTCTATATAACATAATACAAAAGAATTAGGATTTTAATCATAACTTAGATTTGATTATTAATATTTAAAATAAATATTTTTAGGTTTTGTTTTTTTGTCCCAAAATTTTTAATATGCTGTGTAACCACATGATCTATATGCATGGTACGATTGTTTATAGTTATTAGCCAATAATATTGAGAATAATCTGATTATTAACCGAGAAATTAGCGCATGATCAAAATTATATTTCGACGATTGTAAAAGTTTTTATCTCAATCACAATAATTTTTATTCTAATTTTATAATTCCTTCGACGAAGACTACTCACACAGCTGCGACGAATTACTTTGTATGAGCGATCCATCTCGCCTCTTCATTTCACATAACCGCGTAATTACAATTGTCCAACTTCCGCCCCAATTCACTGATCTGAGTCTTCGTGTATTTTATTCATTTTTGTAGCATGTCGTGTATATAGTTTGAATATTTTTTTAAAAAATTGCCTTTGATTTGGCAGCCCGAAGTATTTTGAGGAGCAAACATAGTGAATTTGACTGATTTTAAGAAGCAAATAGTGAAACGAAAATAGTGTAAACTTTTAGCGAATATAGAGTGGCGAATAGCGTAATGGATGATTAGCGGGTAGTAAGAAACGAAGAAAGGATCGGCAGACCACATCACAGCCACAAAAGTCACATGCCTGATATTTTTTTTGTTGCCGAGTTTTTCGTCATTTAAATATCACGTGAATTAATTCTTGTAAAATACATGACCCGGAAAATTTAGTTGCGCTATAAAATGTAAACTCGATGCAACAATAGCATACATCAAGTGCATGAACAAAAATTCATTAATATATTCTATCGAACTTTTACAAATCAATAGTTTATAAATTTAGCAGAAAGGGTGCTTTGATTCTAACCGGATTTTCTTTGGTTCAACAACAAACCATAAAAAAATTCGATATAAAACCATAAAAAGCCCCGTAAATACATGTAGTAACAAACGCGAAAAATGCACCAATATTCAATGCAAAATCGGCGGGGTTAAAATTGACGAAAACAAATCAGTTTTTTTTGCTCGCAAAACCAGTTAATGCATCAGCTTTGAAAATTAGTTGAACGAGATCTAACTCTACAAACGCCTCGAAGTTCATCTCAATAGCTCCAGAACCAACAACCGTATCATTGCATCTTTCCCACATGTAACCATTATAAATAAATTCTTTAACCTGCCAAGTGATTCAGTATCGGTATCCGAATAATATTCATTTAGAACTTCTGAGCTTTGAGTTAGAATGAAGAATCTTTATCTATTCTTTTCCCTTTTCACTCACTTGATTCTTGCTTCGCTATTATGATCATCTCATCAGCTTCAGATCCTGATACCGACATCAGATACTACCCTACCGTCTGTACCAGGAGCATATATTACTTTGATTTCGAAATTACAACCACATCAATAAATATCAACATCTGTAAATATGACAATAAAGACTGCAACGAAAATAAATGTCCTAATCTCAATCCAGCCGGCAAAAGCTATTTTTCACCGAAATGAAATAATAATAAGGCCAACGATCTGTGATTTTGACGCAAGTCTAATTAAAGATACGCTACCGTTGCGTAGTAATGGCGGTGAAGGTAGATAATGAACATGCCGCAAGTATTCAATTTATTCACTAATAGTCGGGAAAAGATGATTGTCAAATATTGAGTTGTGGTTAATTAATTTAAGAGGGAACAAAATGCAGTATTATCGTTATATTGAAAAATGCACTTACCATTTACCTAAAACCGCGTATATTGTAAATACTTTTGTGTGTTAGCTAATTATTTATGCTTGATGTTTTAATAACAGAAATACGACTTCATTGCTTGTATCAACCATACCATAATATCCCACAATTCATCATTCTCCCTCGATCAAAAATAAAAAATCTAAATTATCTACGAAAAAACATCAAGAGTTGAACTCGTTCAAACACACGTAACGACAGAATTTTCGTTGATTGTGTCGCATTTGATTGGGATAACAACTCGAGAGAACACTTAATTTCTGGAAAGTTCATCTTTACTTGACATGTTACGTATCTACCATACATGTTTTGTTATACCTTTCCATACATTTTTGAGATAAAGGTCGTGTGATTAGTGACAACAAAAGAAAAGATTACAGCATACCGAAACGTGAGAGATAATATGAGTTCAAACGTCACTCTCATGAGATCAAGCATAAATGATATGAAAAATTTTTTTTTTCTCAAAATGTATGAACATCTGTATCGGGAACACAAAAGATAGCGATAAATTTTATGCAAAACGACGACGTCGTCGTTTTTTTGTTTTCGACATTTTGAAAGAATATGACAACAAAAACAACAACAATAATAATGTGTAAAAACAACGACAATAATAATGTGTATGTAGGTAAAAGATTAAGGTTATATGGATTATATAATTCGAAAGTAAAAAGATGGAAAAAAGACATACCGATACGTAATTGTCTGATTCACATATAGATAGCTGCTAAATTCTCCTTATTGCAGCTGTCAACAGATCCTAGCTAACGTTAAAGTAAACGCGGCATTGCACAGACGTAGGTTGATTGCTACTTAAAAGTCATCTTAATAACGATATTGGATGAAAATCGCTCACCTTCATTATTTTATCGACATGACATGACATGACTTATAGTTTCTATCGTTGTTTCTCCTGAGATTACGGCTGTTTTTTTACGAGTTTTTGACAGGCGATACATGTAATGATACAATGGGTGTACATGTCTACAAGTCATGTGTAGTAATTATACGCCTACCGTAATACTGTTATCAGAGAGAAGATTAATCAATCGTACACGGAACAATCTTTAAGGGAAGTACATGTACATGTACTATATTCTTTAATTTGGAAGTAGACGCTGCTGGCACAAACATTCGATGTAGGTGTACATGTAATATTTGTGCCCAATTCATCGCTATAAATGGAGAATTTCATTGCTGACCTCCTCCCATAGGTAGCACCCGCATTGGGCTAACATTTAACTTTTCCCCCTAATTTTTTTTTCTTTCGACTTTTTTCAAGTTTTTTCTTCTGTTCACGATACAAAATTAATCATTTGTTGATAAACGATTTGGTCGAATAAAAATAACGATTTTTTTCCTTGAAAATAATTATATCAGTTCATGATGGGAAATAAACAGTCGACAAAGAAAAATTTTAACGATGATAATATCTCTTTTTCTTCTTCTTCCTCGTCGTTATCTTCAATATCTTCATTATCGTTAAATTCAAATTACAGCAGTTCAACGACGACGACCACAGTAACCACAAGAGCCCCTACAATAACTATTACAATTCCACCTCTAGACTTTCCCTTACAAATAAAAGGTTCGCCTACGCCACGTCCGAAAAATCTATCACCATTCTGTAATATCACACCCGAGCTGTTCGTCGAGTTCTGTAAATACTTGCACATCGACGACCTTTTCGCGCTGTCACAAGTATGTTTTCGATTTCAGTCGTTGCTTTGTAGTAAGGATTCGGAGGCAACACAAGATATTTGGAGACGCGCACGATCAGTTTGGTTACCGGAAATTACACTTGGACCACCTTCGGACTTATGTGAAAAGACGTATATTGAGTTATGTTTGTATGAACGTGGTTGTCAGTTATGCAAACGACGAGATGTGGCGGTGAAGATTATTTGGACGTTTAGGGTCCGAACTTGTCAGAATTGTTTCTTGATGAACACTATGAGGTATGTCTTCGATGGTCTTTCCATTATTTTGTTGAAAATTATTTTTACTTTACTTAATAAAATTCCACATTTTAACAGTGGTCATGATTTAACTCCATTAAACTGGATACCACACCATATTTACTCTTACATCCCGTCAACACGTGAAGATTGGACCGGTGAAAAACTGCCCGAACAAGAAATCAGTCCGGTGCTTCGTAATCATCCAATCTTCAATAATCGTCTTTACTGGTTCCCACAATTCGAACAAAAAGTCAACGAATGGAAAAGAATCGGTACAGCTGGAGGACGTCGTCAATGGGAAATCCGTCAGCGTATTAAATTCATTGAGATCGAACGTGACTTTATTTTACGTGAACGTAAATCCGCCGAGAAAGCCGGACTTGTTCAACATCCCGCTTTAACGTGTTATGATCAACGAGATGCGCAATTACGATTCTGTGAAGAATATTTCAGGCAATGGTTAGTTTATTATCAGCAGCAGCAGAAATCACCAAGGGACGAGAAAAATGAGAAGCATGAAATACAACAGAAACAGCAATTCGAATTTATCAAGAAACAACAACAAATAGTCATTCAAAAACAACAGCAACAACAAATAGCCAAGGTATTAATAAAACAAATGAAGAACAACAGCCAAATTATTACCAATGTTAATAATGTTAATAGTGTTAATAATATTAATATTATCCAGGCACAGACTGTTGTAGCATAAAATATGTAAAAATTTATTGTTTGTTAAATTATTTTGATATTTGTACAAATGTTTTCTATGAATATATTTACGTTAATCAAAATCTGTATCTTCGAATGCGATGACTGACACAAAACACTGAAGTTTTGCCTGTCCAAAATGCAAACGCACATAATAAACATTGTTCGCCAAATCTTTCAAGAAACAAACATTCTCATTTACTGTTGCACGTCAATAAAGGACAGTCGAATTTCCCAAAAATAACTTGAATCATCACTCTCAAAGGGGATTTAATTATTTTATTTTACACGTCATAAGATTTGGTGATGCATTTTGTATTAGCTTTGCTTGTATAAATAACCATTGTTTTTCTTAGGTGTTTAACGTTAATTAAAAAGATCATAATCAAGATGTAAGCGGTTTTTAGACGTATTATGCTTAAAAATTTATAAAAAACCTATCGCTATAATTTTATGCCTCCCCTAATTAGGAGCAACACCAATTCACCATCTAATGCAATCACTTCCACTATCTCTAACAACTTCTGCGACAAATGTGAGCTTATGAAACTTCATTATCAAATGATGGATGAGGAAATCAAGGAGAAAAATCGATTTGTTTACGGATTTGAAGGTCTCTTGTATTCTATTTTATCTTTAATTTAGCGTCGTCGTGCCAAGTAAACTCGAAAATTTGAAATGTCAAAATATGATTAATAAAAGATCTCTAATGTCAATATAGAAGACGGACAACCAGAAGAACAAAAAACATCACCAAAAATATTACTCTTCGGTCTTGAGACTGTAACCGCTAATATCGAAAGAATAAAATATGCATTGAATGTTCAATTTGGTGGTGAAGTAGAATCAATTAAGTTATCTCAAAACAAGGTAAAAAAAAATTAATAGAAGAATTATTTTCTTTCTTTAACTTATTAATTCTTTTTCAAAAAAAAAACAGAAATTTTGCGTCGTTGATTTCAAAGAAATGCGCGTCTACTATGAAGTACTAGAGGTAGGAAGTGTTCGTGTTCTTGGTGGCTGGCTTTTCGTGGAAAAAGCAGATGGTAGAACTCGTCACCATAAACGAATTTGACATGCATCTGAGGCGAATCGAGAAATTACATGTTCACGTAATGCAAAACGAGGTCAACGTCACACAGAGGATTATAAAATATTTTTGATGTGAACCACCACCTTGTAATAACAATTAGGACAATACAAATTGAATGGCTAAATTACTTGTAAATTTTTGTTTTCTAAGATAAAATAAATCAGCAACTCTCGTCTGAATTAACAAAAATGACCGTCTTCACTGAAAAAAGTGAGATTCGGTAAATACGATCACACTCGTTCAGACCAGTGTAAATAATCTTCCCGCAGCTAACGTTTACGTTTACCGTATTCTCCCGGAAATAAGCACTACCTGAGAATAATGAATAAATAAGAGCCACGCATCTCATGTATGAAGACTGCTCGGGAATAATCACCATCTTCATTTGCTGTGTTGATTGAGTAATGCTTATTCTCGGATGAATCCTGGTAGATATTCTAGAAATCCTATTTTGAGTCCAAAAAACGGTACTTATTTCCGGGAGAATACGGTAAATGTAAAATTTTTCGGTGCACATTTAAAATGTGCGAGTATACACTGAATACTTAAAATTTATCCAAATAATTCTCATTTTGTATATACCTGACCGAATGGATTCAATTGGTCAACTATAATCAACAGCTCAGCTACGAAATACCAAAAAATAAAACTATCACTTTGGAACCCAATATTTCAAATTCAGTGATCCCATTCAAGTGAAGATATTACCATAAGATTCGTGGATTCGGGAACAATCTAACGAGGGTATTTCATTTAAATCGGATCATTGATTTTGAGATATTGGATTCAAAAATGGCAGATTCTTTTTGAAGATTTCTGGTAATATATTGTGGAGGGTGTGTATACTAAATAACCATGGCTCCCTCAAGCAAAAGCTCCCACAGGCGCAATGTGTTCGTCGTCAACAGGTTACCCTTTTGGTTAATGTATAGTATGATTAAAAAACCATTAAACCTTTAACGTCTAATAATTCTCCGTTACCGAAGACCTGTAACATTATTAGCCCCGTTGAGCCCCTTTTTTTTTCTTGAACATATTTAAGTCCATCTATGTTTCCAGATAGATTTTATTTTTGTAATTAATTAATTAATAATTATAAGACAAAGTTTTCTATAATTTTGCTAGTATTTTAAATTCCTGATGATGTGGTTACTTGCATGGGTATCTGTGTATCTATTAGGTTACAAGTAAAAAATGAAAGTTAATTAACTATGTTTTCGAATTGAGCAGCTAAAATGGTTTCTCTTTTTTCAACTTTGTATTTTAGGCGTATAAAGAAATAAATTGTAGAAGAATATAAAAAAAATATGAAGTGAAAATTCGACGAATACGAATTTCATTTTGTTTACGTATTGCTAATTTCAATTTCGTAGTTTATAACGATAATTTTTGATGAAATGACATATGTTAGATATTACGTTTGTTCGCAAAATTGCCGCTGTTTACTTTAATAAACTAACAATTAATCAGTAAATTACATTATTTAACTTTAACGTTAACGAAATTATTGCCCACTCAAAAATAGTGATATGCAGATGGTTCACTTTCAATAGCAAACTCCATGCCAATTACATACATGTACATACTAATATAACAATTACAAAAATTAAGCGGTATAAATTCGACATTACCGGTCAGGTGAAATGTCTGTTAATCCATAAGTCAACTGTCTTAATAAAAGATCATCGTTAACGTTAATGTTATATAAATTTCTTAAAGAAAAAAGTAACAAAGTGACCTTTATCTATATGACAACTCTTTCAACTATAAACTAACTTGTTCCGGTTTACTAAATAAAAAGATTATACTCGTTTATTTTTTATTTATTTTTTATTTTTTTTCTCATTAATATCTTTATAATATAAAAGAAACTTTGCTCAAATTTTCTCAAGTGGCCGATCAATTTTTGTCCCGTTAATCCACAGGCAACATAGAAGTTCTTAATGAAAAAACTGCAAAACTGGCTTTCACTCAAATGATAACACTTTAAACTATAAGCCAATTCAGTTTTTCTCACTAAATAAAAAGTTTATGCACATTTTTTTCGTTATAATATAAAAGAAACTTAAGATTATTGTTCCTTTTTCTGTCTCAAATGATCATCATATCAATATGTAACTAGTACTAATGCTAACGCTAACGCTAATACTAACACTATATAATAACGATAACGATAATAACAATAATGATCGCTAATACAATTATTATCATTATTGTTAATGTTGATTCATTAATTGTTATCATCTTTTTATATTAATAACGAAATGTATCATAATTATGGTTTGTCATCGATACAATAATCCAAAATAGTAATGGAAGAAAAAACAGCCAGTTCGACTCAGCGTGAAGCATCTTTTTTTTAAACTTTAACGTTAATAGTGATAGAATTTATTTTGAGTACGTTAGTCCTAATGCTAATAAATATAATATCGATAACCCATCATTAGACAATGATAGTATAAGCTTCATTAGTGAGAGCTTGGTGTCCGAGAGTACTATAATTGATGATAGTGATAGAGATTGTGAAATCGAAATGCAGCCATTTACCTGGGATGAAATAGGTTTTGAAAAAGCATATGCAATAGCCGACGCGAATGAACATGAAGAATTTTCCTGGGAGGACATAGAAATAGAAGATAAAAATATAGATTCAGCATCAATATTCAAGCAGGAATCAGAAGAATCAACTGAAGAAAGTACATATTTAATTGAAAATACTACTGGTCAAAATTTAACATCTTGTATTCTTTTAGATATGGTAGATGGTCATATACAATGTTGTTCAAAAAAAACAAAAAGACAAAGACCTTTAACTCAATTAATAGGAACATGGGAAATAGATAAGGAGACATTTTTAAAAGCTAAAGAGGAAAACAAAATAGATTCGCTCAGTGTTTGTTATGCTCATTTCATATTCAATCAAAAATCACTTCATCAATCACATATTAAAAAGATATGAACTATCGAAAAAAGTTGGATTTATCATCGCCATTGCTTATTTTACAATAAGTATAAACATATTTTTAGTCGAGAAAGAACATGTATTCAGCATTCGATGCAAGTAACTAATCGTAATGTACAAGTACCTTGTATTGGTTTAAAGACTTGTGTAGCTTTTTCTTTAGAAGAATCATCAAATATTTCTAATAACAAAAAACTAAATAGTTATCAACCATGTTATATATGTTCTGGATGTTTTAATTCAGAGGGAGGGCATTTTTTTGAAAGAAATAAATAGGGAAACAAAGATCTGTTTTCATGTGAAGATAAACATGACGATAATACTATTAAAGCACTAGAACTCATAGAAAATTGGATTTTAAGTATTTCAAAATCAACAGATTGGGAATATAAAAAAGAAATTTAACAAATCTCAGTTCAATATAACAGTAATAATAATAAAACAACTTTATCTAGTCTTTTATATATCAAACCAGCTTTAAAATTAAATTGAGTAGATATTGCTAAAGTTAAAAATATAACTTATGAGTTTACAACAGAATCCTCTACAAAAATTGGTGAGGTGTTAGGAATTACAACATGGCAGTCATGACATAAAATATGAAAAAATAAAAAAAAACTTGAAGAACCAAGTTCTTTAGAGAATTATCAAAGTGGATTTCCTAATTATTTGTCTGAGTTTTTCAAGAGGCTAATTACTATGATATTAAAAAAAATATGAAGTTGTGATTAAAAAAAGAAAACAAAGAAATCTTGAAATAAAAGACTTTGACATGACTCAAGCAAGCAAAATGTCAATTTTTCTTATCTTAATCATATTAAATATTGCATTTTCTAATGCTAATATATGGTTAACACATATTATGAGTTCATTATATCACAAACCAAAGCTGTTCTCTTTATTATATGACATTTTATATATAGCAAATATTGTATCTTACACAAAACATTATGAGAGACAGTTAGAAAAAAATTGACTTAAAAAGATATAACCAAAATATTATTTATGAAAAGATGAAAATATTTGGAATATAGCAGTAATAGATAATATTAATTTTTTTGAAAAAATATGCTTATAATAATATTTTGATATTACATGCAATACCTTTCATATTACTCTTAGAATAATATTATTACTTTTAGAATAATGGCACACATCCAAGAATATATATAGTACTTTAATAACAATTTTCTCTGGATATGAAATATTTAACTTAGTAGCAAGTCTTGGAGTTAAATATTTAGATAAATTAGAACAAGTAATAGACTATCAAGCAACTTATTTTGTTTTGGAACTAATTAAATGGCAGTAAATATAGCTATTAGTCAATATTTAATAAATAAAAATGAAAAGATAAATAATATTGAAACAGGAAACAACAAAATATTAATGGTCTGGTATTATTATTTTTATTGGGCTGGATATTGAATTACTCATAAAATTGGAATTCAAAGAGAAAATTTTGAAATGCAACGTAAAAATCTTGCTATCTTTGCACTACTTTTTCCTATAGCAGGAAAATATAATTATTCAGAATTTGTAATATATTTCTTGTTTTATTTTGAAAATGATTTATTTCTTAAAGAATTACTTCAACATGTCTGTTCAGTAAATTTAATATATGCAGGATATTGTTTTGCATTTGATGAGGCTCTTGAGAGATTTGGAGTTAATTTTGTCAAACAAAATATTAGAGAAAAACTTATAAATTGTGAAGATTTAAAACAATAAATAACTTCTGTACAAGCTGAAAGAAATTGATTAAATTTATTAATATCAGAATATTTAGATAATATAGTAATAATTAAAGTAAATAGAACAATTAAATCATGAAAAGAAATATTATGGAAATTAACTTCTAAATTATCAGCTATATTTTCATTAATAGAGTCAAAATCTCATGAATTATTTAAAAATATAAAGGAATTGAATGAAGAGGATTTTTAGAAACTATTTTCTTGTTATGATTTTTGATATTTTATGACTAAATATCATTTTATGTCAAGATATATATAAAATAGAAGCAAAAAATATAAATAGTTATCAAGCTTGTAATATGGTATCATATATATTTCAGGATCTTCAAAAAGAAAAAATAAATAATAGTAATAATCAAAAAACAATAGAAAAGAGAAAAATGATATAATTAAACAAAATGGTGTCAAACAGAATTTGCAAATAACTAATAATAAAAGTATATCAAAGATTTATTCTGCAAAACATCAACATTGCTAAAAAATAAATGAAAATGAAAAAAAATTCTTGAAACAATACTCAATAATGAAAACTTATTAGATAATGAAATTTTTGAAATTTTACATAAACTTCTTGCTCAAAGTGATGATTGGACAGTATCACGTATTTGTAAATATTGGAATAATAATCATCATAAAAAAAGAGTCCAGGAAATGCATATATAACTAACAAAAATAGTAATAATAATAAAAATTATTATAATAATAAGAATTAATAATATTAGATACTTTTACTATATAAATAATGTATATTGGTGTTTTATTATGAATTAAAAATTATGAAATTTTTTTTAATGTATAGAAACATATTATTAAAATGAGTTTGAAGTGAGCAATATTAAATGCAATTTATATAATAAAATTAAGAATTTTTATATGAGTAATTTATTATCTAAAGTAAAAGCAAGTTCAAAGTTTTAATTTTAGAGATTTTGGTAATGCAACTTCTAAGTGTTTGTAATGATAACTGTAAAAAATGCAAATTTATTATTTATAAAATGTAACGAAAAACAGTAGTACAATACAGATCATTAGACATTTTACTTAACCGTTACGGCCAATTTCGGGAGCTTTACACTCAAAATTGTGTAATAAATCGTCAAGATTTACAGTCAACCTCTAATTAAAACCGATAAACCGAAATTAATTCCGGATCAGTTATAATTTAATTTCACTCGATAAACCAAACTTTCAAAATTTTTTACTAATAGCACCGTCCACTTCGATTTAATGAGGTTTAACTGTACAATAAAAATCATGCGTTGGGATTTTGGATATCGGTGCGGTGGTATCACCGTACTGTACGTCAAGTGCCTTAAAGGCAAAACTAAACGCACTCATACACATTCATTTGATCACCGTCAATTTTATGTGTAACGTTATCGACAGTCTAATAAACGAGCATTTAAAAAATCGTTGCACTATTACAAGTGAAATTATAGAAACGAAAACGCGAAGTTTATGTGATTATAAAGTATAAGCAAGGCGTTTGGTTTTCTAATACATACACAATCATGATTTTTATAAATAGCTCTAAAGTTTAGTAAGGTTTAATGAATACTTGATGTGAAGCAACGAAAGATTAAAAATAAATATATGGTCTGGCGCAAAAAGATTGGTACATCAGATAAATATTAATAGATTATTTTTTCAAAATAAAATTTTAATTCTGTCTTATTTAATAAAGTTATTAGGTATTGGGATTATTTAAATGTAAAAATTTTTATTATATATCTTTTATAAAAAAAATTTTAAAATTTACTATATAAAATTTGATTAAAATTATATAGTAAATAATTTAACTACTAAACTTTGAATCTTAATATCTTTATGACTACTGATTAAATTTTTATAAAATTTAGAATATATATTTATCAAATCTAGGACAATCTGCTTGCATAGTTTAAAGTTCTAATCTTGCAAATTGATAATGATAATATTTAAAATGTCTTTTTTTTAAAAAAATTAATTTTATTTTAAAAGTATGATAGAATAATAATAAAAATAATATAAAAAGTTAATTTAGATCATTCTTTATTTAATATAAAAAAATTATAAAGGTTGGTTAAAATTTGAATGATTTTTATTAGAAAGCAATTATTAATTTTATGTTGGTGTACCAATCTTTTGCACCAGCCCATATATATTTTTTAAATTTAGTGTAATAAAACTAATTTTATTTCAATTTTAGTGAAAAGGACAGATTTAATAATAATAACAAATCATATATGTGAAAATTTAATTCATATCTTAAAACAAGAATTCCAAAAAATGATTATGCCATTATAAAAACTAATGCGTCCATGAAATGAGGCCCGAGGGAAATGAAGGTGGCGATTCTTAAAATCAATAAAAGCACGGAAAAAACTATAAGCCTTTTCTTGAATATGTTAATTTTCTTGAAATATCAGTCAAATTCAATGAACATAAAAGTGATTATTTTATTAAATAGGCATTTTTTTTATATTTCTGGCAAACAAATTAATAATATTTTCTGAAACCCCAGACATATCAGGGAATCTAATAAAAATTTTTATATTTTTAACAATTCACTAATTGCAGTCATACCCCCGCCATAAACTTACACAACCTTATGCACCTAAATTTTTAATAATAGTAACCCTTTTTATAAGCACAGAATTATTTATAATCCCAAATTCATTGAAAAAAATGTTTGATTATAAAATACCTCTATAATATAAATGTATAATTAAATGTGACGAAATCGACCAATAAATTAAAGAATAAAAACTGATCAGCCGATGGGATTCAGCCCAATTTCAACATCAGCCCCCCGATAATTACATACTGTATGTACTACGTTGACCAAACTGCGTATTTACAGAAGTACGACCGTATTTTTCTTTATTATTTCTATTTTTAACGTTAATAATTATTTTATAAAGTTAATTAATAAATTATAATAGTTTTATTTTCAAAATTGTGTTCTCCAAAATGACACCCGATTTGTTACTGACTTCACATCTAAACAGATTCGATAAGCTCTATAATAATGTTAATTATTCTGACATTTCGATTGTTGTGGGCGAAAACCAGAATACTCCACGTATCTTTTCAGCTCATTCGGCAATACTGGTGGCGCAGTCGCAATATTTTGCTGTAACACTTTCTAATGTATGGTCAGAACGAGAAAAGAATAAAATGGTTATCTTTAAACCTAATATCAAACCTCGGATATTTGAAATCTTACTAAGGTAATTTCATATTAAAACTGAAGCATTTATCATTGAACAATAAAGATGGTAATAATTTGGAAATTTTAATAGATATATTTACAGTGGAAAAATCGATTTACAAAATTATGAAGTTTCGATGATTTTGGATGTGTTAGTCGCGGCTGATGAGTTAATTCTTGAAGACTTAATTGAATACATCCAGATTTATCTGCTCGAACACCATTCTGTATCTTTGAAAGAAAGTTTTACCTTAATCAATCAAATTGCATTCGAGCACAAAACCTTTACTAAACTTCACCAATTTTGCGCAGATATCACATGTCAAAATCCAGCTGCTATCTTTAAGTCAACTGATTTTACCAAACTACATGAATCAGCTCTAATTTGTTTACTCAAACGTGACGATCTAGATTTGCGTGAAATCGAGCTTTGGGAAAAGGTGCTTGAATGGGGAATTTCTCAAACTGCAGATACAGACGAAATTGATCTAACGATTCCATCAGAAAGATGGACACATAACGAATTTAATCAACTCAAATCTACGCTTAAAAATTGTTTACCATTGATCCGTTTCTTCCACATCAATTCGGTCGATTTTTATTATAAGATTCTGCCGTATGCTGAAATTTTACCAGGAACACTGTATAAAGATTTATTACATCATTATCTGGTGCCAGGAAGTGAAGAGAGTAAAGCTACTTTACACTCAGTTCGCAAAATCATAACCATCAACGACAATTCTTCAATTCTTTCGCAGGATCAGGCCTTTAAGATAATTGACTGGATTAAAAAGCAAGATGATAATCAGAAAAATAAATCAATTGAATTGAAGCGGAAATCACGAGGCAGTCGTGATGGATCTTTAAAACGTTCTTATTCAATGTTATCAGATATTTCGCCTACTCCGACAATGATGGAAGAAACTTTAGCAACTTCAACCGCATCCAGCAATCCTAATATTTTTTCCTTGCTGTCGCCAAATGTTCAAGCTCAATTTGACCCTTCACCACAAGTTCCCATACTCCAGACTACCTCGCCGTCCTCACCACCGCCAACTTTTACAGAAGTTTCTTATTCCCCACTTGAAGAAAATACAATTGTCGATATTCCCATGGAAACAGATTTTGATCCAAAACCATATGGTTGTGGGATCGATGGCTGTAATTATACTTATAATAATTCCAGTGGCTTATTCTATCATTCAAAATCTGCTCACCCTGAAGCTGCGAATGATAGGCCATTTCAATGCGCGATGCCCGGATGTAACAAAAAATATAAAAATATCAATGGACTCGAGTATCATATTAAGTATAGAGGCTCATCTGAACATAAAAATGACGTTAATAATCAGTCTGCACCAAAACCATATGTATGCAAAGTGGTTGGTTGCAAAAGAAGTTATAAAAATCAAAATGGCTTAACTTATCATATGGAAAATGCGCATAACAACTTAAATAACTCTGGTAGTAGTATCGACGCATCAAGGAAATCTATAAATGTCGCAACAAATAACAATACAACTCAATTACTGTCATCTAATAGTGACAATATATTGCGAACATTTACTACTGAACCTTCCGTATGATAATAAAGGCCCAACGGCTGGATAAGCAGATTACTGTGAGAAAATGCTCCTAAGCACGGAGAAAAAAAACTTTAATATTGTGGATTATGAAATGGTGCAGAAATAATTTTTTTATTGTTATACATGTGACTAAAATTTACACACTGCGATTAATAAATTAATGGATTTTTATCGTTTCTTTAAAAGTGCACTTGGATATATTTTTCGATATTCTTAATAATAATATTTATTACAACCATTTTTATGCAGAAAAATCACCAATTACATGTACATGTATTAAGGAATCAATTTTTTTCTCAAGTTAAGGTTACTATAATTTCCTGGAATAAATTTCTGAACTTCAAGTTTTAATCAGTGCTTTCGGTTTAGCGAGTTATATCTCTTAATACAAACAATGACGATGTTGAATCGGTTTAGAGTTATACATGTACCGTATTTCGAATAAAGAGCGATCCTGATATTACAATATATGAAGTCACCTCTCGAACAAATATTCCCTTGCATAACGATTTTTATTGTTCAACTTCGTACTATATGTTACTGTCGAAACCAACTATAATTTAAGCTTATTTAAATCTAATTACATGTATATTTCTGCAAATAATTATTACAAAGGGAGCGCGTTATTTCGCATATGGGCATTATTTCAAAACGGATGTGCTATTTTTAAAGAGTACGATTTCGCGGATGTAAAAAAAATTTTGTACTGGCTTGAAAGTCATATGGTGCATACTAGTGGCTCATGGAATAAATGGAACACGAAAAGTTTTGCGAAAAAAATTCTAATACCTCTAACATTGATTAAATATATCTGATTCCTATACTCATTTAAAGCTAGAGAATCATTAAAATTATTAATATTGCCATTCTAAAGAAATTGGGTGGTGAATATTTTTAATTAGTGAAATTCTAACTCCAAATAGGTTTGTTATCAGGGATGATTGAAGCAGATTGACCTAATAAAAAATGGGCTTACTAATGAGAACCAACTACGTACCAATTTTCAGCCAAATTGGTACCGAATTCGTCTCGTAATTAGATCCGAAGAACCAGATCAGTGCTAGTTGAATTATTTTTACTTTTTTACTAGCATTGATCTGGTTCTTCGAATCTAATAACGAAACGAATTTGATACCAATTTAACTGAAAATTGGTACGTAGTTAGTTCTCATTACATTTTTTATTAGGTCAATCTGCTTCAATCATCCCTGATAACAAACCTATTTGGAGTTAGAATTTCACTAATTAATTAGAATGGCAATATTAATTAATATATCTTTAGACTATTTAGTGGTTCTCTAGATTACCTTTAAATAGGAATTAGATGTATTTAATTAATATTAAATCTACTTGAATTTTTCTTGTAAAACTTTTCATATTTTATTTATTTCATAAGTCACTGTTCTAGTGATCCTAGATGACAGCATACTGATGTTACTTAGTCAGAATTTTTTACTACAGCTAGTTAGCTCAATTATATAACTTTTCTAATTTAGAATTTTTATTTATTATATCATTATTATATTATTATTATATATTATATGTATATATTATCTATTTTATTTAAATAACTTGGAAAATATAGTTATAAAGTTTAGTTTTCTTTAAGAAAAAGAAGATTATATTTATAGGATCAAACAATTACTTTTATACTTATTATTTAACAGAAACTAAAGAAGCTGAAATTGAAAGATAAATTTTTGCTTGCTTTGTAAGTAAAGATAATATTATTTTATTTATAATAATTATTTATTATAATAAATGAATTGTTTTATATTTTAAATATATTGATATATTTCAATAAATTAAAGTTCTAATTCAATAAATAATTCAGTAATTTAAATATATCTTTCTAAATATATTCTCTTGAAATTATATAAAAAAAATAAAAAGCATATATTTAAAAAGAGTATATATTTATAAAGATCAAAATATATGTAATTCTTATAAGCTAAAAATAAATTATATTATTATAAGCTATTTCTATTTAAATAGATTTTATCTGAAATAGATAATAATAAGTTAAAGTATAGAATAATATTGATTGAAATTAAAGTTATTCTAAAGGTTTTCTATTATTAATACTTATAAAAATTATAATAATATTAAAAAATATTAAATAAATTAAATAAAAAAATATAAATATAAATTTGAAATATCAAAAATTAAATTACAAAATAAAAATTATAATATAATAATTTTGATTAGATTATTTTCTTTAATTTCATATCTTTATTTTGCACTATTTATATAACAGATTAGTTTTTATATTACTTTTTTTAAAAATCAATTTCATATTAGATATACAGATAATTATCTATATATTTAATTAATTAAATTTATCATATTATTATGCAAATAATTATCATATATATTATAATTATTAATTTAATTATTAATATTTTTAATTATATTTTTAATTAATATTTTATTTATTTTCTTTTATTATTATTTATATTTATTTATATTATTATTTATTATATTTATAATTTATTAATTTATAATTAATTATTTTCCAGAAATATAAATTAAGTTAATTAATTATGTTCAATATACTTATATTTTAATTAGAAATTATTATTAATTTAATTATATTTTATATTTATTTCTTTTGCTATAAATATATTTTTTCTGTTTTTATACTTATAATTTTTATTATTTAAATAATATTCAGATTTAAAGTAAAAGTTTTATAAATTAAAACTATTCATATTATATTTTATTTTATTTATAACTATTAACAAAATAATTTTATAACTTAATAATAGTAAATATAATTATTATAATATTATTCTTTAATATCTTATTTTATACTATATATATACTTTACATATATATTTAGTTTTAATAATTAAATATAATCAAAAATAAATGATAAATAATTTAATTAATTTATTTAGAATATAATTAATACTATCAAGACTTTAAAAAAAATGGTTCTTCTAATTCTAAATTCTTATCTTATCTTTTAGTTAAATTATTTATATTATTACCATAATAATATAAAATTTCTTACATTTTATTAAAATTTTTGTTATTTTATAAATATCTCTATTTTTATATTATATATTACTATATTAATTATCACATTTCTATTTTTAAAATATTATATTTTATCTTATATTTGGGATCTATATTTTATTATCATTTGTAATATGATATTTATATATATAGTAATATTACTATAGTAACATAAAATTTCTTAATTTCTTAATCTTTCCCTGATTATACAAAATTATATATTTTCATAATTTTTATTTATTGTATCAATATTCCTATTTCTATATTATATATTACTATATTTATTATCATATTTCTATTTTTAATTTTGTATCTTATTTAATATTCAGGATCTATATTTTTATTATTTTGTATTATAATATTTATATACATAGTAGAATAGTATAGTGAAAGATCATTTTTAATTTTGGTGGAACAGTTATATTTGGATAATGATCTCAAATATCTTTCCACATCCTTTAATATTCTTTGATTCTTTCATATTCTTTCATATCTTTCCATATCTTTTAATATCTTTTCACATCTTCTTATATCTTTTCATATCTTTTAATATCCTTTCACATACTTTAATATTCTTCAATATTCTTTGATATCTTTTAACATACTTTAACATAATCTATTCATAATTATTTATATTATAGTACTTTAATTATATCTTATATATTAGATAGTATT